CTGGCTCTGAAGTGCCTAGCCCTGAGTTGGGCAAGAGAACGTGGGACTGGCAGGACTGCCCAGAGGCTCCAGTGCTGAGAAGCCTGGCCCCTTCCACCCTCCTCCCACCACCATGTGCTTTGGCTTTGGCTACTAAGCTGAGATGTCCTCCCTGCCCTCCCCTTCACTCTGCCCATGGATGCAGATTGAGGCTGGTGTGGCTTGAGAGAGGAATCTGCTACAGCCCGGATTCCAGGTCTGGGTGAGTCCTGGCCAGATCCCAGGTAGGAGTAGGGTAGATAGTGTACCCAAGGGAGCCAGAGAGCAAGAAGTGAGAAGAGAGAGTGGAGGAGAGAGAAGAGGAAGAAGAACAGAGGAAGGGGAGGAGTAGAGCCAGGCTGGGTAGAGGAGTATAAACCCAGCAGGCCCAGACCCCTCACCACTGTAGCAGCTCAGTGGTTGTAGGGCCAACACAAGCCAGGCATTCAGCCTAGGGCTGGCTATGAACTCTCCTGTGAAGGCCAGGCCTGTGGGATATAGGGTCATGGGCAATAGAGCTGCTAGAGGCAGGGGGAAATCTCAGACCAGACTGGCACTTCCTGGCCCTCCCACCTGCTCTCTTTGGGAGGGGTTACTGGAGATGGACCAGGCATCATCCTGAGATCTAGCACCTACTTGCTGTGTGTCCTTGGGCTATCCCTTGCTCCCTCTGAGCTGGGGAAGGGGCATCTCTGTTTGGGTCAGGGGGCACCTTGTTTTGGAGCCACTAGCCTCCCTGGCCTGCTTCCAGGAGGCTGGGGCTGGGGCTGCCAGTGGGGACAGGAACAGCGCTCTGAGGCAGCTCTGACTCACAGCCCCAACCACAAACTCAGGGCAGCTGAGCAAAGTCCTAATGGCTGCAGGGCCTGACTATGCGAAGCCCACCTCCAGGGCAGGTGTGGGGTGAGGTGGGCTTCTGACAATGCTCAGAGCCTGTGACCTTTGCTCTTCGCTCTGTGGCAAGAGTTGAAGAAGGCAATACCCAGCCGTGCCCTGTAAAGAGAAGGAACAGCCCACATTCCAGACAGGGATTACGTGTGCTTACGGGAAAGCCTCCATCTGGAGGTCAAGAGACCGTGGCTTCTCCCTGCAGGATCTTGGGGAGATTATATATACCATGTCAGGCCTCAGTTTCCCCAGGTAAAGGGAGCTAATGATGCCACAATGTGACAAGGGGTGACAAAATTCTGGCTACCACTTACCTGACAGTTACTAGGAGCCAGGGCTGTCTTGTTGCTTCACACGCATTTTTCTTCTGTACCCTCACATCAGTCCTGCAAACCAAGTCCTACTGTCATCCCACATTACAGGTGGGGTTCCGAAGTGACTTGCCCAGGATCATCTGGTCAGTGTGGCAGGGATATGGTAAGAGCCCAGGGCAGGTTGACTCCAGGAGCTGAAGTGCCTACCCAAGGTAGCAGAGTCAGGGAGTGGGGAAGCCTGGGACCCGACTCCTGACTCCTGACATTTCTAGTCCTACATGTCCCTGAGAGAAAGAGTAGGAAAGGACTGGGTGAGAGGGAAGAGCTGAGGGAAGCTGAGGGCTAGAAAAATATAATAACGAGTTGTTTGGAGGACTGCTTGACCCTCTCAGGGCCCTGTGCAGAGGGGCCATGAGGTTCTAGAGCAGTGGTTCTCAACCTTCCCAATTGCTGTGTTGTTACAAATAGAAAAAAGGGGTCACAACCCACAGGTTGAGAACCGCTATTCTAGAGTAACTACAGGTCAGCCAGGCCAGGCCTCCCAGCCTCCCCAGCCAGGCAGGCTGAGGGAAAATGGGTGAACTGGGATTTTCCTCCCAGACAGATGAGCCACTTGTGCCACACAATCCTTCCGTCTCATTCTCAGCCGGGGTCCTTGTTCCTGGAAAAAAGAGGGAAAGAAAGAGTTCCTGCCTGGGCCTTACCTCCCACTAAGGAGACCTCAAACCCCAGCCAAGGCCGTTCTTTGAATTAGGACATTGTTTCTGAAAAAGCCTCTTTATTTCAGTTATATTGCTCAGTTTTACAATGATTCAAATGTAATCTTACCAGGATATTCTTTATAGATTTGACCATGCCATTTGCTTCTAATTTGTGTAGCTGTAAGTTCGTGTGAACTTCACAGGTTTTGACTGAGGCAAGTGACTACGATGTATTTAGCAGTGATTCTGTCTTAAAAAGGCCTGATATCTGACAACACAAATTTCATCAAAATGTTCACATCATATACACATGTAATTTAAAAATCCATTCCAAAAATATAATACAGAAAGTCTCCTCTTTCTGTATTTTTATATTGTAGATTCAGCCACATTCTAAACGCTTATTTTCCTTTTTCAGTGTATGAACTTACCATGGGGAAATTCTTCCACCTCTCACTGCTAATAACATGGTTAGACTCTTTAATGGGCTTTCCCCTTTATATCCATACTAATATTTGTATTTGTATCTGTACTTGTCTAAATAGACATATAACAATGATTTTAAACAAAACTCTCACTGCCATTATACAACTTTTTGTTTTTCACTAGTAACCCATCGTGGACATACTGACTGGTCAGTGGTACAGACAGATATTAATTTACCCATTTGGAGAGATGCACATAGCTTAAAAGCAAGACTGTGCAAGAAATTATTTAACTCAGGGGTATCCAACCTTTTTTTTTTTTTTTCTCTTTTTTTCACTGGAAGAATGAGAGTTGCCTTGGGCCAAACATGAAATACACTAAGACAAACACTAAGACATGCTGATTAGCAATAAAAAAAGATTTGTGCTTACTTTTCCTTTCATATATCTGACAGCACACATAAGCAAAAAAAGTTCTCACACAATCAGTATGTGGCCACCACTGATTTCACCAATCCCCCATGGAAGGGCATTTGGGTTATTTCCAAGTGTTTTAGAATTATACATTATGCTACCATGGCCATTAATTATAAAATATATTTATTTCTTCACATTTGTTGAAGTATTTATTTCCATAGGAAAAATTTCTTTTTTTTTTTTTTTTGAGACAGAGCCTCAAGCTCTCCCCCTGGGTAGCGTGCCGTGGCATTACAGCTCACAGCAACCTCCAACTCCTGGGCTCAAGCGAGTCTCCTGCCTCCGCCTCCCAAGTAGTTGGGACCACAGGCGCCCGCCACAACGCCCGGCTATTTTTTGGTTGCAGCCGTCATTGTTGTTTGGCGGGTCCGGGCTGGGGATTCGAACCCGCCACCTTAGGTGTACGTGGCTGGCGCCTTAGCCGGTTGAGCTATAGGCGCCGAGCCGGAAAAATTTCTAGACATAGTGTTACTGAGTAAGGAGAGTAAAGATTTAAAGTGTTACTGGAGTCCAAAAGTTCTCTTTAAAACACACAAACTCACAGTGCTTCCAGGTAGCTGAGAAAAGTCGGACATAAAAACATTGGAAACAGTATTATTTAACTCAAGCTAGGTGCTCTGGCCTCCTGAAGAAGTCTAGAGCCTCTTCGGTTTCTTGCAAAAGCTCTAGGCAGGTGACAGAAAAGAGCTAAAGACTGAAGTACATTAAGCTGAGACTTTGTCCCTGGTGTACCCAGAACGTGGAGGGTACAAGGATACACGACAAGGCAGGAGTCCTCCTTCAGGGCCATTCAGCACTCCTGCAGGCTGGGTGCAGGCTCCATCGAGCCACTGCAGCCTTCCCTCCCCAGCCTGGTTCTGCCCAAGTCCCTCCCAGCTCAGAGTATGTGTTCCTACATCAGTGATCCCGTCTGATCCTCAATAACCTGTGAGAGGAGCAGGGGAAGACCAGCCCAGGTGAGCAGGGTGGGCTCAGAGCCACAGGGGGCTTATCCTCAGTCACACACAGGGAAGCTCTTATCTGTCAGACTGGTGTCCCTGCTACCACCTCCCCCGGGAGTGTCCAGGCCCAGCTCCTGGACTCAGAGGGCAGCAGGCTGAGTCTTGGGGTCAGGGGCCAGCTGCCTACTTAGGCTCCTGGAATTTCTTGCGTAGGCTCCCCTTGGGATAGGGTTCTGGAAATACTCTGGGCCATGACAGATTCCCAAGCTCAGAATAAAATCTGGCCACAGCTGTAAAAGGACCTGGTAAGGGAGCCCCAGCCTGGGTGGGACTCAGGGACATTACCAAAACAGCCTATCTCCCTGTGACCACCCCTACCACCCTCGATGGCTCATCCTCCCGCCTCCTCTCTGTGCCCTCCTTGGCAGGCAGGTCTGCCCTCCTGCAGCCTCCCCTCAGGGCTCCTTGCATTCTCCTGACAGGCCTCGGAGAGGGCCACCCTTGTCCAGCTACCTATGCAGCTCTGTAGTCTCTGGTTTTAGGCTTTGTAGGTAATCATGTCAAGAAACTAGAAAAGTTGCAAACATGGGGAAGTAACAAAGCTTCTGGAAAATCACAGAATTCTGAGTACTTGCTTCCCTCTCTGAAGAGACAAGATGGAAGTTTCCATGTCTGAAAGTTTCTCTTTTTTATTCTTTTTTTGAGACAGTCTTACTCTGTCACCCCGAGTAAAGTGCAGTGGTATCACTGTAGCTCACGGCAACCTCAAGCTCCTTGGCACATGGGATCCTCTTGCCTCAGCCTCTCAGCCTTCTGAGTAGCTAAGACAAGTACATGCCACAACACCCAGCTAATTTTTCTATTTTTAGTAGAGACAGGGTCTCACTCTTGCTCAGACTGGTCTCAAACTCCTGAGCTGAGATAATCTTCCCACCTCAGCCTCCCAGAGTGCTAGGATTACAGGCATGAGCCACCGTGCCGGCT